CTCGGATCATTGTTGGCCAATAATATCCGTGACGCTTTATTTTAACCGCGAGTGACCTTCCGCCGGAATGTGTTCCGCAAGATCCGGAGTGAACTTCCTCCATGACCTTTCTTGCTTTTTCTCCCTCTAAACACGTCATGAGCGAACCGGAAAATCTCCATTTGTAAATCTCCCCGCCTACTGCTATGTAACGCGCGGTTTGGGGTTGGATTTTATGGGCTGCCCATTTTCCGGAAGATAGTTTCCCATCGACGATGTCGGCTTGAATCGTTTCTAGCCATGGCGTGTAACAGCTGTAGTCGGGCTGTTCTACTCCTTCTTCCGGTTATGCCACGATTTCGTCAGCGTCATCGTCTTGATCCCTTATGAGATTGATAACGATTGGCGGTCCAATGCTCGGATGCTCGATGAATTCGACTAGGATTATCCTTTTAATACCCTGGTCCAAACTTGATGCTAGAGCACCGAGAGTGTCCAGTTGAACATTTTCGGAATGAGGGATCCGAGTAAGGGCGAAGCAGTCAAAATCTTGTGCCAGGAGGTCTTTGACCAGTTTGAGGTATGCATCCATCCTTTCGTCTGTTGCTTCATATACTCCGCTATATTGATTTGCGACTGGTTGAGGATCGCAGTAGGCGTGGATGTTGCGTATTTTTAGCCAGTAAACTAACCACAATTCTGCGACGAGTGCTTTGTATTCTGCCTCGTTATTACATGCGTGAAACTTCAACCTGAAGGATTGTTCTAAGATTTCCCCCATCGGTGATGTGAGACGAATCCCTATGCCCGATCCTTGTTTAAATGAAGATCCATCGACATGAAGGATCCAAGTCGAATGTTCCTTGTTAGTAACGAGTTCAGTTGGCAGTTCTACTAGGAAATCTGTCAGCACCTGAGATTTCGTGATGGGTTTAGGTCGGTACTCGACACCGTACTCACTTAACTCAATCGCCCATTTGGCTAACCCGCCGACTGACATGGGCTGTGCAGGATCGTCCGAAGGGGGAAGGTTGTGAGGATGACGATCGTATGGGACTGAAAATAAGGATGGAGTTTTTGTGCCGAAGTAACAATTGCGTAAGCCAATTTTTCCATCAATGGGTACCGTGATTCGGCATAGAGCCATGTTATGCTTATGTAGAAGATAGGTTTTTGCTCACCCCGTTATTCTCTGATCTGGACACAGCTTACGGCTGTTGCTGACACTGCGGTATATAGGAACAAAAGTTCTCCCTTTAAAGGTTTAGCAAGGACTGGAGGGGTGGCCAGATAACGTTTTAGCTGTTGGAAGGCGTTCTCGCATTCTTTCGACCATTCGAACTTTTTGTTCCCTCGTAGGATACCGTAAAAAGGTAAGCACTTATCAGTCTACCTTGAGATGAATCGGTTTAGTGATGTGATTCTCCCGGTTAACCTTTTTTACTTCCCGTTTGTTCTTGGGCGAAGTCATTCCGATTAGTGCAAACCTGATGCTACGGAAAACGTGATGCTACGGCAAACCTGATGCTATGGCAAACCTGCATTCAGCCGGGTTAAGCTTCATGTTATGAAAGTTAAGTCGCGAAAAACATTCCTTAAGGTGGGATACGTGATCATCGGCACAGAGAGACTTTACGAGCATGTCAACTACTTCAAAATCAGAAAATTCAGATAGTGACAATGCACCAGTAAAACACTGAGCTCAATACCAAGTTGGACAGAATGTACAATGATCTAAACAGTAAGTTTGAAGCTGTTCATAATCATGTGAAGCTGCTTGAGTTTTAGATGGTTGAAATGGCAAAGGTGATCATGAGATCAGAAAGAAGTCTACCAGAAAAAGTGGAGCAGAATCTCGGAAGAGAGTAAGTTAGTGTAGTTTAGGGGAGGAGTGAAAAGGGACTGCAATCTTCAGCAACTACATCCATGGAAAAATTAGGAGAAAAAGATAAGGAATATGCTAAGGAGCGACTACTCCACTCTGGAACGCCTGCTCCGGGAAAAAACTGCAGAAACTTCTACAGCTCGTGTATATGTTCCTAAAGTTCCTTACCCAGTTCCACCTAAACATATGATGGATCCAGTTATTGAATAGAAGGTAGCAGGATTTAATAAGAAGGTGAGAAGACTTCCTAAAGAGCTTGCATTCGAAGATGCGTTGTAGATTCGTCCACTGCCTATGTACTTTAAAAAATGTAGAGAGACTCAAGAGGATATCAAAAGCCCTTTGTTCTAAGGCATTGACTACACCAGCACTGAAGGTATTTTGTAAGCTTGATTACCCTAACAAGTTTGTTTTTCCATGTTCCATCACATGAGTTGATTCAAGGAAGCTCTTTGTTACTCTTAATCTAGTGTGAATCTTGTTTCAAAGGCTATTGTAGACGAGGTGCACATTGTTGATGTTAGGCCTTCACAAATAACTCCTGCTTTTGCAAAATCTTCCACATCATTTCCGTATAGTACCATTCGCAACCTTCGTGTCCAAGTAGAGGACTGCCTTCTTCAAACTGAATTTCAGGTCGTTGAGATGAGCAAGGATTATGAAATGCCTTTGATCCTTTGAAGACAATTTATGGCTACAGTGGGCGTATTCATCGATATGCCTATTAATATAGTCTTTTTCTCCAACATCAACAAGAAGGTTTTCTATAAGGCTGTCCCCACCAGATCTCCTACACTACACGCCTTTTTCATCTCAGGTGTTTGTGGAGAGAAGCTGAAAATTGTTCATAAGAAGGAGTCCTAGATGGAGATCCTCACACTAATACCAAGAAATTCAATGGAAATGCAAAGGTGAAAAAAAAAAGCCCAGAAGAAAATGGTCAAGGGTGGTCCTACAATGACTTAGATACCTCGATTGGGTGATGAGCAATCCAAGGAGTATGAGATAAAGTGCAAATGTACCTCTAAATCTTTCTCTTAAGTTATAGTTATTCTCACATATGAGCTAAAGGAGAAAGGGGAAGATGCTGTAAAAGGATCTTTGAATAGAGTTTTGAAGCTGAACATGTCTGATTTGTGGAGTTTGTTTTGGAATGAGCCCTCTTGCTCAACCAAACTAAACCCCATCACCAAGTCAAGCTAGTGACTTAAACTAAGCACTTGCACCGGCAAGTGTAAATCTCATTAGGATTTGTTTTTGCTTATTTTTAGTTTTAGTTTATTGAGTCTCAGATCAAAATCAGAAAAAATCGAGATACTTCAAAAATTACGGTTTTCAGAAATAGAGCACCCATCACTCTGAAAGGAGCGCTTGCTCCAGGTGGAAATCTTGCGATGGAGTGCCCGCTCCACTCAGAAAAATATGTCGACAAAAAAATTTTTTTTTTTTTTACACCTTTTCTCCGATTTAGTTTCATGCTGAGAATTTGTGAAATAAGCTTGGGGAGGGTCTTTATCGTTTACTAACTCATTTATTTCTTTTATTATTTTTTAAGCCAGTTTGAGTTATTGAGTCAAAATTTGTTGGGAATGAAGACCTTATTTTGTGACGATCTTAACCACCCTTGTGCTTTAGTTATCGTATTCAGTGACCTTAGCAGTGCAGGAGGAACGCACACACGATCTGGGACACCCTGACTTAGGATTTTGCCAGAAAAGTTTCGCTTGTCAAAATTACACCAGAAAGACTTAATTCCACTTAAGTTGAACCTAATCTTGACAGCCATTCTTGTTATGGGAATTAGATTATGAAAATGAGATTACACTCAGGACTTCTTTTTTACCCAGCTTGCTGATTTTAATTGGATGTATCATCTTTAGCTAATTCCCACTTTGAACCCTAAGTATTTATTCTACCTCCATGGATTTTGTTTTTAGTGTCATATGCGAAATAGGTTATTTTTGCCTCAAAAACCATAGATATTTTTCATAACGTTAACGAAGTCTTCTTTTTTTTTGAGAAAGACGTCAATGAAATCATTCGATTACGTGAAAAGGAAAAATTAAAAATGTAGAAGATTAAGCGTAATTTAGAAATTTTGGGTGATACCATATAGCTGGAATAAGAGAAACCACTGTTGAGGAGGCTCTAAAAACCAAAGGAGGAGAAGAAGGCACATAACCACCATTCTTAGTGAAATTTAAAAAGAAATGGACATTGTATAGGAGAAACTGTGTCACCGTGATTGATGTGAGGACCTTGATCTCTGGAGATGCCGATCTGTTACAAAAATTAGTTCTCTTCTAAAGAAACTTTGTACTTAATAAGAGAGGAGAAACCGCAGTGTATGTGGACCAAGGGGCTCTAGTTTAAGAAAGCAACTCGAAAATACTCATTTATTACATGGATTGCGTTCAGAGGCGAAGCTAGGATTTTTTTCTAGTGGGTGCACTATTGATAACAGAAGAAAAGAAGATGTAAGAGAGGATTAAACCTGAGTTGTTAGTGGGTGCACCCACCTATGTTTTACCTCACATAATTTGAAACATAAATATTATTACGGGTGCACATGCACAATAGAGTATAAAGTGTCTTCGGCCCTGATTGTGATGTTGGATAAACTATCAACTATGGACAGAGTATAGAAGTGGAGCATTGGAATTAATGTGACATGTGTGCTCTGTAAAGCCGAAGCTGATACTCGAAATCATTTATTCTTTGAATGCTCTTTCTCTTCACAGATTTGGAAGAACATCTCTAAAGAAATTTTGCTAGGCTCCTTCACGACAGATTAGAACTCTCTACAGATGATTATTTCAGACTAAAGGCTTGAGGCCAAAAAGCTCTGGTGTATGAGATATGCATTTCAATGTGTCATCCATATAATATGGAGAGAACTAAACAAGAGGTGGCACTAGGAAGAGCCAACATTGTCAAAATTGCTGAAGAAAACTATTCACAAAAGTATAAGAAATAAGTTATTTCAAAAAAAAAAAGTTGAGTATGTTAAATGCCGTGGGTGTGAAACTTGGCTGTATTCTATGATACTGTTTGGAAATAGAGAGTTAAGATAGGAGATAGATGGTTCCATTAACAAAGAAGCGCTTGATGTAAAACAGTTTTTTGTTGAATAAATTTAACATTTATTTGAAAAAAAGTTAGAAATTTTGTGAAAACAACTCATATATTTTTTTTATCAAGTTTGGTGTTTTGAATTGGAGTCATTGGGAAAACAGAACGGATAACAATATAGGAAGGCCATGAATAGTTGTTGAGAGAAGAAGACAAGATCACGCAGCTTTGAGGAACTTCAAGGTCTCATCAATGTGTTTCTCAGGCTGGAACTGGTTGTTGTAGATGAGCTGAACGACACCGTTTTTGTCAAGAACATAAGTCTGTCTCCCTGGCAATGCCCCAAACAGATCTCCTGGGACTCCCCAATCTTTCCTCACCTTATTACCTTCGTCACTCAACAATGTGTAAGGCAACTTGTATTTGCTTGCAAAAGCCTGTAATGTTTAAAAAGTCCGGAAAATGAAATGGCTGGTTTTTAGATTCAAAAATCCGAGTTTTTTTTAATGTTGCTACCTTGTGAGAAGCAGAGTCATCACCACTTATGCCAATGACCTCTGCACCTGCCTTCTTGAATTTCTCATAAGAGTCTCTGAACGCACAAGCCTATTTGTACAAATTAAAGTAAACCAAGTTCATTTTAGATCAAAGACTTTTGCCAAAAAAAAAAGAAAAAGTTTATTTTAAATCACTAAAATCGGATAAGAAGAAACTAAAACAAGGAAAAGACCTGCTTGGTGCAGCCAGGAGTTTCATCTGCAGGGTAGAAATATACAACAACAGGCTTTCCTTTATACTTCTTCAGGCTCACTGGTTTTCCGTTCTGATCCTTTAGTGTGAAGTCTGGTGCAGCCTGCCCCTTGTTAACCTGCTTACTCAAAAATTAAAAGAATCAATAGTGTGTCGTGTGATAGCTTTTCGTTAGCAGACATTAGCAACTAAATCTCAAATTCTTTATACATTTCATACTTTTATGTTTCTGACCGTCGCGGAATCACGGTTGTAATTATCTAATCATGCAACACCTAAACTGTCTGAGTAGAAATGTAGCGTAACTCAAGAAACTTATGTATATTATGTATTGAAAATAATGAAATCTATTGTCAACAAACATTTGTATAAGAGATACATAATTCACAGAACTCGTTAGACAGTTGTAGCCAACAAAACATCTATCGATAGGATATGGGAAGATTCTTCATTGTACCTTAGCAAAGATTGAGCTTCTGATTGAACAGGGAAAGAGGGGAGGGAGAGGGGTGGAGTGAGAAAGTCGGACACCAAAGAAGGTCGATTCGGATGATTTTGTGGGAACTGGATAATGGGTTTTGGTAAGAAGGATATTTCTGTGAGGAAGAGAGTGCAGCGTGGAGTGACTAGAGAAAGTGAAAGAAGTAGAAGAAGCAGCCATGTCTTTTTGCTCTCTCTATCAAGACGTCTACCACTGTTTCATGCACTTCCTTCAACTATTTGTGCAATGGAAGAAGATGAAGATAGGGAAAGATTGGTGCCTGTGGCAACACGTAGTCACTGTTACTCCAAGTTCCAACGTTTTTTCGTTTGGTTGATGGGCTTTTAATTGAGCCCGATTTTATCTAAGACGAAAATTTTAGTGCTCAAATAGGATTTACTTCTATGAGGTAGAAAATAAAAAGAAAATGAATAAGTAAACTTATTTCTATCGATACAATTAAAATTAAGCCGTTATCCACGTTACGTGCAGAAAAAATTAGGTTTGACATGTGTACCACATGGATATTTATCTAATATAATATAATATATATATATTTAATTAAGTAATTAGATCTCGATCTGTATAACCGTTCGAACTTTTATATTTCTATTCTAAAATATTTTAATTTATATAACAAAATTTATCAATAACCTAATGTAATTTAGTGATATATATATATATATATATATATATATATATATATATTATGTAGTTATATATTAGCTATGTTTACATGGCTTATATATTATTATTATAAATTTTGAACTTTGTAACAAAAATTATTTTTTAATTTACCAATTAGATTGGACCTATATATAGTAGAGAAGAATTTTTTTGAGATATTGTTAAAAAGATATTTTTTAAAAGATAAACTATAATACATTGTAACTCAAAATAATTTTGCAGTAATGTCATATTTAACAAATACACGTTGTTGAAAAAAGTAAACAAATACACTAAGTTGGATAAAATATCTTCTTTTAATTTGAAATAGAAATGAATCTTTCTAACAAAATATTTGTAAAGTACATTTTTGAAAAACCAGTTTAAATTATTTTATCATTAAATATGTAATTAAACTATTTTATAAAATTTTAAAATTTTGTATATAAATCAAAACTAAATTAAATTTTAGTTTCTAATTATAGTTTATGAAAACTAAAATTAAAATTAAGTACATTTTGAAAATAAATTTAAATTTATTCTGAAATATATATATATATATATATATTGTAAACAGCTTTCTTAATTTAACATAAAAAATTACAAAAGCCTTTTAGCTCTAGGTTTTGCATAATCAATAAAACGCATAACAAACAAGTTGGCCCAATTTCATTAGTTTGAAGAACCCATAAAGAAGCTCATTAGGTAGTTATAGAGAAATCGAGGTGTGCAGCAAGGAAAGCTAGAAGTCGATGATCACGAGGAGCGTATCCAGCTCTGCATCATGAGCGACGATGAGCCGGGTTTTCTTCTCTGAAGCTTTGGATTTTATTTCTAAGTTGTCTCTCAATCAGTTTGAAGAGCTGGTCTACTGATTTGAAGATATTTGAGTGTAGACGAGCATTACGCTCCGTCCAAAGCCAGTAAAGGGTCGCTTGACAAGCAAGAAGAGTGAGGTTTCTATGTTGTATCGGAAGAGGAAGAGAACACATCTGATCCATGGTATCTTCCCATATTGTAAGAGATCGAATCTGCAATCTTCTAGCAATGATATTCCACAAATCAGTACTGTAATTACAAGAGAGGAAGAGATGATCCCGAGATTCTGGATTTGAGTTGCAGAGGAGGCATCTATCCACGGTTTGGAGTCCCCGGCTAAGAAGTCTGTCTCGTGTGGGTAGCCTGTTTTGAATCACTAGCCACGCGTGGGAATTGTGTCGGGAATAGCTCTGGAGAACCATATCTCCTTATACCAAGTAACGTGCAGTCTCCATTCAGCTAGGTAATCATAGAGGATACTTGTTTTACACCTCATATGGATTTGACCATTGATTTTCCATTCATAGTAGGCCTGATTCTCTGTCCACTGCAGCGTTGTTACGTAAGCATACACTTGAAGTTGAGCCTCTGATCGAGCCGGTGGAAGGGGCCATGACCCATTTAAGTGCAGTGATGAGACTGTGGCTTGATGATGAATCCCCAACCTTGAGTTGTTACCCGATAAGTAACTGTGCAGATCACCAAATGGAATCTAGTAGTTATCAATCTAGAATCTTGTCGTTTCCTCATTCTCTAGCCACAGTTTAATTAAGGGACACACAATCGTCTTTAGCTTCAGCAGCTTATTTACCAACCATGAGTAAGTTTGCTTTGGTGATGTTGTCCAGAAGTTATTTCTAAAATATTTTGAAAATATTTGTAAAATATTTTGATAGAATTTTCTTAAAAAATATTTATTTTACTCAAATAAAATATAAATTATTATAAATATTATAAAAAATTCATGTAAAATTTGATAAAAATTTTAAAAATAGTCCAAATTAAAAAAATTCATGCATTAAAAATTGATCACTATAGTGTATATATATATATATATATATATATATATTAAAAACAATTTATTATAAAACTAGTATATGGTTGAATCTATAGTATCTTATTTTAAAATATTATATATTTATAAATACATGTTTGTTAACATAATATCTATATAAATATTGATACATGTGTAATGTATAATATAATTATTATTAATAACATTTATTATGAAAATAAAATAGTGTTAGGATTTTTAATATTTGATTTGATTTTATTATTTGCATGGTAAAATTATAACTTTATTGTATTTTTATAATGACCGTTATTATTATTATTAATCAGATCATATTAATACCTATATTAACTCAATTAATTAATTTTTATTATTATTAAATAGATTCTAAATTGTAATATGCAAATATAATTATATAATGATAGAATAATATATTCTCGAAATTATGCATATCTAAAAATATTCTGATGGGGTGAAAAGAGAATTAAATATGTTGTTAAAATATTATTATGAAAATACAAAAAAAAAGTAATGTAAGCAACTTTCTAGGATATATTCCATTTCTTTAAAAAATCACACATGAAAAGAAGTTGTGACTTCTCTTTTAATAGATGAGACTACTCTTTGATCCGAACAGGTTTGCGCGGTTGTTTATTCAAATTTTATCCGATTTTTCATTTTTAACAATGTCATAAAAATGATTGTTGATGATCTTGTTAGTGTAAATATATTATTTTGTCTGGACATTGGTGTTTGTTCAATGTGTTTTGCGTCAGTTTGAGATTGCCTTCTTTTTTTCATTGTGTTTTTATTCATTTTACTTGGAAAAGTATACACTAAACTGTAAAATAGTAGAGTTTTAAATATATTTTTAGGTTTAACTGAAGCAATGCTATAAATATTGGGATATAAAGTTGAATGATTATTAAGTTATTCATTGACAAATTTTTAAAACATCTAAATTATTAAGACATAAACATAAAAGTAAACCTCAAAAAGTTACGAAAATAAAATACAAGAAATTGTACGAGCCACCAAATTATGTTATTTACTTAATTCAAGATATTAAATTTTTGCTATCTTTGATAAAAATAAAAAATAAATTGCCATCTAATCTATTAAAATTTTGGGATATCTAATCTATTAACCGAATTAACAAAGTGTATAGACAAATAATGGACCTTGAACCAAACACGGAGCCCATATAAATTTTTATTCTTATTACTGTCAAAATAATTTAAAACATTTATACAGTATTAACTATGAAAACGTGAGATATTTCAAACTAGATGTTTTACCAGCACTTGCAGACATAATTCTCTTATGAATATTTATTAATTCATTAATTTATTATTAATTTTTTTGAAAAGTACAAATCAAACATCAAATAAATGACAAAACGCAAACATCAGAAACATTTAAAATAATATATTTCTATAATATTTTCCTTGATTTATATTTAATTATAATATTTTTACTTAATTTATATTTAATTCTAATTTTTATATCTTAATTTTAAATTTTATAATAGGAAACACATATTTTCAATATAACAATATAATGCATAAGTTATTTATTTTCTAAAAATACAATATGATCATTTTTTTGATTATATAATAATTATATAAGATGATAGAAATCATGACATATAAGGAAAATTACTTAAAATCATAGAGAACTTAACAAATTTGCAGTTTCACTTATTAAATGATTTTTCTTCAGTGGTGATTTATATTTAATTAATAATAGATAATTTTCTATTTTAATTTTAAATTATATAATATAAAAATATATTTTCAAGATGACAACATAATACATAAGAATTACCATATTTTCTAAAAGTATAATATTATTAGTGTAAATTTCTTTTAATTATAGAATAACTATAACTTTTTATATCTTAATTTTAAATTTCTGATCAAAAAATGTATTTTCAAGACAACAACTTAATACGTAAGAAGTATCTTATTTTCTAAAAATCTGATACTATTAATAGAATTTTTTTTAAATATATCATAAATTATATATAAATTATATAAATTATAATAAACTATCAACATTAACTAAAAAAATTAAAATATGACAAATCAGCAAACATCAAATTCAATTCTTAAATAGTATAGATATTTTACATGTTAATTTTAAATTTTATAATAGAAAAATATATTTTCAAGATAATGGCATAATACCAGAGAATTAACTTATTTCTAAAATATCCTATTATTAATATAAACTAGTTTTAATTATATAAACAATAATAAAAATTAGAGAAATTCTAACAAATGATCAAAATTACCTATGATCAGGGAGACAAATCAGCAAATTCACTTTTTAATTAATATCTTTGGTGATATATAATTAATTATTAATAGTATAATTTTTTATATCTTAATTTTAAGTTTTTTAATACGAAAATATATTTTCAACATAACAAGATAATACAATTTAAGTGTTATAACAACATAACAACATAATAAAAGTTATATATAAAATATATTATAAGATAACAACATAATTCACAAGCATTATCTTGTTTTCTCAAAATATGATATATTCATATAAATTCGTTTTATTTATAAATAAAAATATATAAAATATAACAACATAATTCACAAGCATTATCTTGTTTTCTCAAAATATAAAATATTCATATAAATTCTTTTTCTTTATAAATAAATTATATATAAATATAAAAAAAATAAATAAAATTACCTAAACTTATGGAAAATATGACAACTAAGCAAATTTACTTCTTAAATAATAATATAGACTCTGTGAATCCATTGATAAAGTTAATGGGCTAACTATTAAGGTAGAATGATAGAT